AAAGTCATTAAAATATACTTAATTCTCGTTATAATAATTAATAAGTTATTGTAAGTAGAAAATCAATAGGCCGAATCGCAAATTTCTTCTAATGAATCAGAACTATTTGATTTTCAGAAAACTTTATATATTTATATTTATATTAATATAAACTACCTCAATCAGTCAAAATTTAAGGTAAATTTAAAATAACCCTAATTAAGTTAAAAATTTGCTTTTAAAAAATCTGATTTAGAAAAATGTTTCACTCTTTAAACTTCACATAATCTTAAGGTTTAACCCACTGTGAGTTTCAGTAATTCAATACTAAAGATTTAAATACTTGAAGGTAATTAATTGAACATATGAATGTTTAATCATAAATGCATTCCTTGGTGATTATTTTGTGTTGTTGATGATTTATCTTAATTCTATATTTAAGAATTCAATTATACAAGGTTATGTGAGGTTCCCTTGTACAATTTACATCAATTCCAAAAAATTAAATCGATTGTATAGCTTTCAAAACATATAGTGTAAGATACTTTTGGTTTGTAATATAAAACTCAAAATATAGTAATAGAAATTCAATAATTTTTAAAAAAAGGTAATGCACCACAAAAAAGAGTAAGTAGAAGTGTTGTATGAGGTTTTGTTCTTATCCAATGAGGTTGATGAAGTATTCCTCCCTCTCCTAGTAAACATATTGAAAAAGGAGAGAATTTAAGACTGCCTAGAATTTCTCTCGTAAGATCAAAACAAATTCCATTTAGAAATAGAAAGTTAAAAGGGGTAAAACTAATCTCTGCTTGAGAAAGAATAGACTCGTAATGGAGAGAAGAACATTAAGATAATAACAGATGTCCTCAAAAAAGTTATGGATCATGACTTTAATACACAGAATTACTCTATGGATGATTATGAAGAATTTAAAAAGGATCTAATTACAAAAATATCATTGAATAAGAAGATAATAGAATTCCTAAAATTTTTAGTTCATCTGACTGCTTTAGATGAGACCTATATTTGGTGTGGATCAAATTCTCTTCATTTGCTAGTTTAAATGAAGGTGGATTTGAGGGAATAAAGTTTTGAGAACATCAGGATAAGAAATACCTCTTTAGTTGGTGGGAATTTTATAAGATGCATATTCAATGGATCAGAATTTGACAATGTAGATATTAGTGGAATGAACTTGAATTAAGCTTAAATGTTTAATTGTAATTGGAAGAATATCAAGATACATGAGTTAAATAAATTA